ACACACACACACACACACACACACACACACACACACACACACACCTCTCACAGATGTGCATGCCCAATCAGGACAGGGTACGGCAAACAGGCAGGCAGAGCCCTGGACTCATCTCCTGCACGAAGGGCCTGAGGGGTCCAAGCCCAGCGTGTGGCGACCAGACCCCAAAGCCCGGCTCCCCACCAGGAAGACCCCAGTCCGTTCTCCTTGAGGGAAGCCGGGCGGTCCCTGCTTCTCAGAGCACCTCTGCTTCTGGCGCCTGCTGCTCTCTCAGCCGCCTCCACTCTGCCCACGTCACCCAGGGCTTTCTGAGCCGCTGAAAGCAGTGGCGAGGGCCTTGGGGAGGGTGCAGGAGCAGGGCTGTGGCGGGGCACACATCAGCTGTGGCCACCCCACCCCACTCCGCTGCAGGGGGCTGGAGGCCCCCACGAAGAGGAGGAAGGGCAGGGGGCAGCCTGTGACACGCTGCCGGGCCTGCCTCCAGCACAACACCCTCCAACATGGGGCTGGACTCTGGCGTCTGTGGAGCAGGGCATCCGAACCACCCCAGGCTCCCTGTCCTGTCCCCCTAGGGAATCAAAGTTGTGGGTGACGGGCAGGACAAGGAGACTGGAGTCAGGGAGAGCAGAGGAGAGGAAATAGGCCAGGGAGGTGAGTAGAGCCCCAGGCTGAGGGAACAGGAGCGCCAGGCAGCAGGGCACATGCAGGCCCCTGTGCCCCGATTCTGTCTTGTCAGCGAAGGGCGCGCCGCTTGTCCCAGCGCGCGCTGACAGAGCTGCAGAAAGGCTGTCTGCCCTCGGCAAAGGCAACCCTGGGTGCCGCGACCTGGCGAGCACTGCCACGTGCACTTCCCCTGGCCGGTCTTTCCCCTCGGGCACCAGCAACCTTCCCTGCTCCCTCTCTGACCTCTTGCTCCGGGGCCTCGAGCAGTGTGCTGGCCCTGTCCCCCTGAGGGCAGCAGGAGTGTCGAACCAGTCACCCCCAGAGCTTCCCACCTGCACATGCTTCCACACGTGGGAAGGAGCCCGGACCACGGAGGCAGCCACACAGGCGGCTCTGCTCCGCCCTCAGGTCCCCCAGGTGTGGAGCTCAACCCCAGGCATTTTTATTTTTTGGGTGTGAGACAGGGTCTTGGGGCCAGGGATATAGCTCAGCGATACAAGTGCCTGCCTGGCAAACACAAGGTCCCGAGTTCTATTTCCAATACCAAAAAAAAAAAAGAAACAAAAAAAAAAGAGACAGGGTCTCGTTAAATTGCCCAGGCAGGGCATGGACTTACACTCCTCTTGACTCAGCCTCCCTCACTGCTGGGATTACACTGCCCCCAGGTTAAGTTTGGTTGTTTGAGACTGAGTCTTCCTATGTAGTCCAGGTTGGCCTTGAACTCACAATCCACCTGCCTCAGCTTTGCAATATGGGGATTACAGGCCGGTGCCACCGCTCCCAGCCTACCACCCTCTTGATACCCACTTCTCAGAGAAGGCCGATGAAGCACAGAGAGGTTTGGTGACCTGCTCAATGTTATTCAGCTAAGAAGCACAGAACAAGGAGCCACCCCCAGGCAGCCTGGCTCTGACTCCATATTCTGGTGGCCACTCATCAAGTCATTGCAGTGTCCAAACACTGGGCCCCACATACACCCACAAATGTCCACGCGGCCCATCTCACTGTACAAATGAGGTGGCTGCCTGGCTTGTGCTGGAGTCACACGGCCAGGAGGTGGCAGGGCCAAAGCCTAGACTTGGGTCTGTCTGGTGCTCCCTGGTCTCTCAGCCTTGTTACCCCTTCTCCTGGTGCAGCCCACTGAGGCCACAGGTACTGACACCACCTGCCACTGTGTAAAGGGATAAAATCCCTGCTGGCTATGCCCCAAATAATAGCCATCTTAGAGGCTGCTTCTCTTACATAAAAAACAAAGATATTAACAAATGACCAACCCACACCTGTCTCCTGGAGTGGACAGGGAGGCGGCTTTTCCTTTTGGCAGTATAGGGATGTCACCCAGGGCCTCTCGCACGCTGGGTGAGTACTCCACCACTGAGCTACCCCCAGCTCTTTATTTGAGACAGGGCTTGCTAAGTTGCTCCAGCTGCGTTTAAACTTGCGAGCCTCCTGCCTCAGCCTTCTGAGTAGCTGGGATTACAGGCATGGGCCGCCTGGCCTGGCTGGGAGGGTACCTTTTAACATATACTTCCCCTCAACATGCAAAGGGCCTTGAGAATGAGGGTCCCACCGGCCATGGCAGCCGCCTTGGGCAGGGCCGCCTGTGCTCCGAGGGCACAGTGGAGAGGCGCTGTGCAGAAGCAGTCAGCATCCAGGCATCGAGGCCGCCCCTGTGGTCCCAGGAGTCCCCTCCATCTCTCCCCATGGCAGGGTCAGCATCCTAGGCATGGGCCTTCCGCACGGGGGTCCGGAGTGGCAGAGCAGGGGCTGGGTGCTCCAGGGTTCAGTGTCACCAGCCCCCTCTTTAGAGCCCATGTGCTTATGTATTCCCAGCCTCATTTGGTGCACAGAGGATAAGGAGAACTTCCTGGATTTCCAAACGGTCCTTCCTACCAGGCTGCTTCATCACCCAGCCACATCCCTCCTATCTTCCTCCTGGTCCCCACCATAAATTCCCATCCCATGCTTCCAGCTCGGAGCCCCTGTGCTTGGACAGGGCATCCCTGTGGGATCCGAGCACCTGCGTACCGTCTGCGCTGAATTCTCCCCTTATGTCCTTGAAGAGCAGACGACAGAAACCAGTGCACAACCCTCATCTTCAAGGCGCATGACCAAAGGACCAACACGCATGCCCCGTCCCCGTCCTTGCTGGCAAGATGCTCGCGGGCAGAGCCAGCAAGCAGCCCCAGCCCGTGTCATCAGCCCGGCGTCCAGAACACAAGTTTGGGGTTGTCATGGGGCTTGGAAAATGACCCCAATCAAGGTCGCTGGAGACAAGGCAGTGGCCTGGCGACTACTTTCGCCTTTGAGGATGAAAGGATCTGAGCTGTTCAGCATGTCTGGGTGGCTGGTGGAGTTTAAGAACCCCACAAGACTCCCCTGGGATCTGCTGTTAGCGTTTTCTAGCACCTGGAAATGAATGGTTCCTGGGGGACTCAAAAAGGAAAAGTGGCTGGGCGAGTGAGTGCAAGTTCAGTTTTCATGGAGAATCTGCCATCAAAGTAAAGAGGACATGGTTGTCCTGGTAACTGCTGCCATGGAAACAGGAGCTATTTTGGAGCCAACCTGACTCTCATTGGAGGAAAATGCTGATTCAGATGACAGCATCCCTCACTCCCCTCTCCATCCTCCTGCCCTCCTCCCCAGGCCTCCCTCTCCCTCCTGGCTGCGCTGTTCAGGGGCTGGACAGTGGCGGGTCCCACATCTCAGCAGGCTGAGCCTCGACTTACCTTCCAGTCCGTGTCCACAGTCAGGAGGAAGGTGTCAGGGTTCTCCTAAGAGAAAGCAAACAGGGAGAAGCAAGTCAGGCCCCCGCTGGCCTGGGCGTCCCATGGAAGTCGGCCGGGAGCAGACGGCTTTCTGATCCCCAGACTGTGTTAACGTTAAGCCGAGCATTTACCAAGTGCCAGGTATCGGGCTATCAAGCGCTTGGCAGATGCAAAGATTTCCATTTTATAGGTGGAAAAGGTGAGGCTCAGGCTGAGTCCCTGGCTATAAAGTGGTGGAATCTCTGACCACAAACCTGGACCCTGGTCCTTTTGTGCTCCTGACCCCATAAATATTTCTTAAGCTCTGACCATCTGGACAGAAAGGCAGAGGAAGCAGGGAAGAGGACATGGCCGCCACACCCCCAACAGGGATGGGCAAGCTGAGGCGCACTTGGCATGGCGCCACAGGAGCTTTTCTAACCTGCCTAGTTAGGCACTGGCGGGGCCCAAGGCGCTGCCCACTTTGAGCTCTCAAGTCACTTGGGCACATGTGACACTGAGCAGTGTGCGCCTTTGATCAGTGGCTGTCTTGCCCCTGACTTCGAGGGCCACAAGGGAGGGACCACGTCTGGCTGTTTGTAACACTCCCGGATCGGATTTTACAATCCGACTGCACGACAGGGGATGTGATTCTGAATGCACCCGGCTTATGCAGCTGCACAGATGGAGCCCTTGGGCATCCTACAGCGGCGCCGGGGCCTGGCGTCTGACTCAGCTTCTCCCCATGTGAATGACCAGTCACCTGGTCCAGGCTAGACGCAGGTTGCTTTGGGGTCAGGGGAAATAAGCTACCAGGAGATCAGGCCCACTCACATAAGGCAGAGCTTGGGCTGGGCCCACCTTTCTGTCTACTGGGCCTGTCTAGAAGCCTCTCTGCTCCCTGTCAGGTCATGCAGACTCTGCAGGGCAGTATTAGCTACAACTCTGTCGTCTGTGTTCCTATCCTGGACTTTGTATGCTGTGGTCTCTCCTGCTGAATAGACACCCATCAGATCAGGAGCAGGCTGCAGCTGGAGCAGAGTGAGAGAAGAACCGAGCTGCCGCTGTGCAACAGGAAGGAAAAGAGCCTCCGGTCCAGGGTGGGAAAGAGAAGAATGTAACCGGCAATTC